AGGAGATTGAGGCACAAGAATTGCTTGAACCCAGGAGGCAGAGGTTGCAGTGAGCTGAGATCATGCCACTGCACTCCAGCCTGGGCAACAGAGCGAAACTCCACCTTAAAAAATATATAAAAAAAGTACTTTTCTAAGGAACCACTTGACAAAATGCTATGTTTTTGCCACCTAAATAAAGTGAAAAAATTCATGCAATGTTTGGGCTGAGGCGAGAACCCCAGAGATCATCAAGTTCTTCTCCTTGTTTTGTTTTTTTCCGGAATCAGAGATAATTCCCTTCCCCGGTGGACTTGCTTGCTTTCTAAGAGAATGAGATGCAGGTTTCAGAAATAAAATACAGGCTGGGTGTGGGAGCTCACGCCTGTAATCCCAGCACTTTGGGAGGCTAAGGCAGGTGGATCACTTGAGGTCAGTAGTTCCAGATCAGCCTGGCCAACATTGTGAAACTCTGTCTCTATTAAAAATACAAAAATTAGCTGGTGTGGTGGCAGGTGCCTGAAATCCCAGCTACTCTGGAGGCTAAGGCATAAGAATCACTTGAACCCAGGAGATGGAGGCTGCAGTGAGCTGAGATCGCACCACTGCATTCCAGCCTGGGTGACAAAGCGAGACTCCATCTCAAAAAAAAAAAAAAGAAAAACAAAATACAAAGACCAATAAAAAAGCAGTTCTTCTGCCACCCTGATGTCTACTCAAAACAATGCTGAGTCAATTCCGTTCTCACCCATTCTGCTTTCAGCCTTTACCCTACAATGAAATCAGTTCAAATGTTTAAGCCTTCCAAAACCCTTGGGACCTTAAACACCTGTGGAGACACAGGGATTTGCCTCCCACCCATAGCCTGTCTCTGCAAGCAGGACCAGTGAGGAAGCCCTGTGACCTTTGTTCTGTCACCTTCTGGGGGGTGCTCATGGTTGACTGTCATGAGCCTGGCCGTATTTACTACCTCCCTAGAGGAAGATTCAAAGAGAGGCTCATCTCTGCTCTCCAGTGATTCTTCAAATATGCATTATTTCTGGACAACAGTCGCCCTTAGAATTTTGCAATATAGCATCCTCTCTCTCACCAATGTTTACTTTTTTTACCTGGGAAGCACCACGTGGGTATTGATGTAATGTGTTTAATAGTCACAGTTTATTAATTTTATTTCCCACTCCTCCAGAAAAAGGAGGAAAAAAAACATGCAGAGTACGATGTAGCTTGGGCGTATTTAGGGTAGTAAAGGGGAATGTAGCCGAGGATCTCAGGTACAGGGTTTTTCAGAGGAGGAAACCTGGGATGGTGGGATTTACCTGATTAGTGACAGTCTCATTTCTCACAGACTAGAATTTCCATTTGACAGATGCTGTGCCAGGAATTGTTGACAGTCTCCAAGACTGGGATGCGTTTGGCATGTCCCATCCCCATATCCATCACAGCTTCAATTCTCACCCACCAGAAAGAATCATTTGCATTGGTTAATGTAGGTTAATGTATTACCCGCCATAAACACGTGAGGTCTAGACTAGTATGTGCCATTTAAAATTAACCCAACACAGGCTACACTCTCTCCCTCCCTCTCTCTCCACCACTTCTCTTGTTCTCTCTCTCTCTCTCTCTGTCTCCCCCAACCCCTTCTCTTTCTCCAGTCTGCTTTGTATTCTGTCTCAGCAGGTGGTCAGAATCTAAAGGGCAGCCCAGGAGAGAATCTAATTCTGTTTTCTTGTTTCTTTCAAGAGCCATTGGCCCGAGAACCGTTCATTTGCTTCTTCTGGGAAGTATTTGCTGGTTTTTGGTTTGGTTTTGGTTTTGTCTTTCCTGGCTTTTAAATTGTTTCCTAGAAGGACAGCTGCCTTCGGTTATTAATGGCCTGCTGAGGGCCAAAGCAGAGATTCCACACACACACTATCTTGTTGAATACCCACAGAAACCCTAGGAGGTAAGAGTATTATTACTCCATTTCACGAATAAGATGAGCCTCAGGAGAGGTTAAGTCATGTCTCCAGAGTTAGAAATAGAGGAGATTCGAACCCAGGGCTGAGTAAGGATGAAGCCCACATTCTTTGTGATTACTCTGAGTCTCATTCTTCTTGTTTTGGTTCTACCTAAGCCAGTCTGCAGTGTTTCCAGCAGGCAGACGCTTCTTTTTGCTTGTGGTTCTGCAGAGGTTCAAGTCAGCTGGGGGTCGCTTTCAACTCTGAGCTGTCCTTCTCCAGCTGTTTATGAAAGTTCAAGCCCATTGTATTTGTATTTACCTTTTATGATGGGATTTTGGATTCAGCTTTTAAAAGGATTATCCATCCCTCAAAACATGATCCTCAAAATTCAAACCTTAGGACTGTATGGTTTGTATGTGTATACATTTGTGCTCATTTTATCACAGAGCCATCTCTGTGACCCAGAGTGGGCCCAAGATGCCATCAATGAGTTGACTCCCAGGCTTTCCAAACAGGAGCCTCCTCTAAAGAGTTAGCAGGTCCTCCAGGCCGGATCACCCAAGCTGGACTTCCAGCTGTGGCCTGCCCCTGCTCGCCTTCAAGAAGCTCACATGTGACTAGGCATTCATCCAAACCAGAGGGTTAAACTGATGCAAAATGCCATCACAAAGGGCAAAAAGCAGTCGGTGTGATTTTCCCATGCTGCTGGCGTAATATAAAGATGAGAACCAGAACAGATTTTTGATAGATTTATTGTGGAGCCTGCAGCTCTCTTGGGAGGATTAAATGTGGGGCATCCAACCTGCTATCAATCTCCATTGATGTTTAATTAATAATCACTAGCAATGTAGTCTGCCTGTCACCCCCATGGTAGTAAACACTGCCTGTGCCCTGTGAGCTCTTAGACTTGAATGGCGATTCAAGCCCCCCGTGCTCACCACTAGTGTGGCCTCTGATTTGGACCTGAGAACAGGTGGGAAGGTGTGTGGAATTCATGGGAGTGGGGCTGAACCTTTGCCTCCAGTCCCCTGCCACCACTTTGTCCAAGTCCAAGTCGACGGTGTTAAATTCTGAAATGTCAGCCTGTCTAGGAATTTGTAACCATCCAAACACTCAGAAGAAACCGTTACTCAAACACTGTTAGAAATGGTTCTGCTGTTCCACTTTCACATCCTTCCCACTCCGGAGTACTTAAGAGAAGATTCTAGTGGCTTGGATGGGGTCATTATAGTTTTGAGCAAAAATGTGAGGTTAGGACAGGAGCTCTTCATATGCTGCTGACAACAGCAAGAGGGTAGCATGAGAACGCAGCGTGTGTGCAGGTGAGGCCAATGATAACTCAAATGGGGTTTGAAATCTCAGTGTTAAGTCGTGATTTATGTCAGCTGAGAATCTGGGCCTTGGAGAGAAAAAGGTAGGCTCCAGTTAAAGATGTATGAGATTAGTTTGGGCACGGTGGCTCACGCCCTTAACCCCAGCACTTTGGGAGGCCAAAGCAGGTAGATGACGAGATCCAGAGATCGAGACCATCCTGACCAACATGGTGAAACCCCATCTCTACTAAAATACAAAAAAAAAAAAAATAGCCAGGTGTGGTGGTGCATGCCTGTAGCTCTAGCTACTCAGGAGGCTGAGGCAGGGGAATTGCTTGAACCCAGGAGGTGGAGGTTGCAGTGAGCCGAGATTGCAACACTGCACTCCAGCCTGGTGGCAGAGTGAGACTTTGTCTGAAAAAAAAAAAAGAAAAGAAAAGAAAAGATATATGGAATTAGTAAATCAGAGATAATCACCACAATACTTGGTTTCCCCATTCTGTCACAGCCAGGAAAGGAGTGTCACTGTCAGACCAGAACCATGTTGCTACCATTGCCTCCTATGCCCCATGGCCTCAGTTAGGTTCACATCAAAATTTAAAGGTTAATTCTATTAAGAAACCTTCCAGGTGCAAATTCATGCCCAAACACACCAGAGTTCTTTATGGATTACTTATTCTGTGATGCATAACAACCCTTTAAAAATCGGTTGCTCTAAAGTGTTATGAATATGTTTATTTGAAAAAAAAAATTGTCTCACCTTATTGAGGAGCTGAGGCTGGTTACAATCCTGGCTGCCTCTGACATGCCCACCACAGCCTGAAGACCACCCAGCCCTGCTTCTGACTGTGGTCACTCATGGGCTTCAGCTCCACCAACATGCATCGTGTCTTCTGCCAGAAGAACTCTGTCATAAACTGTGGCTCGCTTCTGCCATGACTTAAGACAGGACTGGAGAAAAATAAGGCTAAACTTGATTGCAAGCTCCAGGCAGGAATGACTGACGTGCCCATCCCCACCATGCCATGTCCAGAGAACATGCTCAGCAGTTAATTACTGAGTGTTGAATGGATGGGTGTTTTCAAGCTCCGCTCTGGGAGTCAGAGACCAAGACATATTCTCCTTATCACCATGCACACTGTCAGTTTCCATAGCATGTGATCAGCACGTGCTAAGCGCCTGGCATCACCGTCTGGCGGGCAGGATGGACTCCCACTGGACTCTCCCTTGCGCCCAGCTCTTCTGCCGGTTGTAACACACAGCATCCCACCTAGACTCCCCAGGCTACCTGTGGCTCAAAACTATAGATTGACTAAGTGCTTTTGATGGTCTTCTAAGTGATTTCATGACAGAATGGGTTCCCCTGAAATGATCTAATCCATTTAAAAAGGAGTCCTCCTTGTATTTTCTCTAAGGAGCTAAAAGTTGGAATTGTGGCTGGGTACAGTGGCTCAAGCCTATAATCCCAACACTTTGGGAGGCCGAGGTGGACCATTCACCTGAGGTCAGGAGTTGGAGACCAGCCTGGCCAACATGGAGAAACCCTGTCTCTGCTAAAAATACAAAAATTAGCTGGGCAAGGTGGTGAACTCCTGTTGTCCCAGCTACTAGGGAGGCTGAGGGGGCAGAATCGCTTGAAGCTGGGAGGCAGAGGTTGCAGTGAGCCAAGATCGAGCCACAGAACTCCAGCTGGGGAGACAGAGTGAGACTCTGTCTCAGAGTGAGTTGATGAATGAATGAATGTTGGAATTGTTTTGTTTTCCCACAGGAAAACCTCTTTTTTGTGATGGAGTACCTCAATGGAGGGGACTTAATGTACCACATCCAAAGCTGCCACAAGTTCGATCTTTCCAGAGCCACGTAAGAGCCTTTAAGGGTTTGGGGGTTTTCCATTGTTCTTGTCAGTTCCCACGTGATTTCTTTTTTCTTCTTTGCCACTTGGCATGCCTAACTTCCAGGGCCAGGTAAACCCTGGAGAATACATCAAGCAAGGCAACAGTTTTCCCAGGTTGTAAAACCAAAATTCATGTCAGTTTGGTTTCATTTCTCTGTGATTTGAAACTAACTTCTTTGTTTTGATTTGATTTGTTTTGAGGTGGAGTATACGCCAGGCACGGTGGCTCATGTCTGTAATGCTAGCACTTTGGAAGGCACAGAACTAAAGGCTTAGTGGAAGTTTGGGAAGTCAGTCTTCTTAAGCAGCCTCTTAGAATATAATTTTTTGGTCTATCTACAAAATCATAGATTAAGAAGCTGTTTTATATTAGTTTTTTAATCTTCGGGAAATTGAGAAATACTCACCAGAAACTGAAAAATACTCTGTTGTCCAGGCTGGAGTGCAGTGCACAATTTCGGCTCACTACAACCTCTGCCTCCTGGGTTCAAGCGATTCTCCTGCCTCAGCCTCCCGAGTAGCCGGGATTACAGATGCCTGCCACCACACCCAGCTAATTTTTGTATTTTTATTAGAGACAGGGTTTCACCATCTTGGCCAGTCTGGTCTTGAAATCCTGATCTCATGATCTGTCAGCCTCAGCCTCCCAAAGTCCTGGGATTACAGATGTGAGCCACCATACCCAGCCTAGTTTCTTAGGGAACCATCCCAATTCATTAGGCTTCTAACTAACTAAGCACAGAAGCAAATATGTGCCCTTTGGAAAGGAAGCAGTGAAATGGACCACAGCCCTCAAGGGCGGTCCCCAGGGGTGGAGCTTGCAGCTGAGCCCTCATGGAAAGCCTGATGTGCAGGCATTAGGCTTTAGGAAGCGGAAGAGGCACTTACTCTGAGAATAAAGCTTCACCTTCCTAGTGCCAGGCAGCCTGAGACACACGGAGATGGGCAGGCGGTGTGTACCTGGTGGCTGTGTCTACCTGGAAGGCATTTAGGACAGGATGGGTCCGAGCTGACTGGAGATGACAGTGGACTAGGTGAATCCTTTCCAGCATGAAAAATGTAAAATTTTTCTCCTGTAAAAACCCTGGCTGGAATGGCTCTTTGTCACATCTAGTGGGTAGCACTCTGCTGAGCTCA